AATCAGGATTTTTCTCGCTAAGAAGCTTATCTAGTAAACCGTTTTAATTAACATTGTAGCGATTTATTAAATTCATGCATAAATTAAAACTGTATAATATTGTCTCGGAACTAAGGCTTTTGTTGAATACACTTACTGTAATAAAAAAGTATAAACACTCACGCACACACACATACTCATTCACACACACACACACAAACTCTCGCTTCTACTGTGTGTGTGCGAATAAGATATACAAAGATTCCTATTACCAGTAACAAAGAATACACGTAACCATACGTTTACATTCACAAGAAGTAAGAAATTAATGGAACAAAGCACACATACATTGGTACATACGATGGAAATCAAGAAATGAAGGCATATAACAATGATGTAATATAAATTGTTGCAATAGCAGACTATATCAGAAAATAAATTTATATAACCACATACTCGAAATTAACTTCTACAGGAAAACGATTGTCAAACTTGGTGATAGTAGGCTTACGAAATTCGTAACCAATAGTATATTTATTGATAATAATACACACTACGGTTTAACATACACAAATACACATATGTGTGTGATTGTAAACTGGGATTATAAGAAAACCAGTATATTTTCTTGCCTGTATTCCTCGCCTGAATCTGCATTTCTAATGAGGCGGGAATATGATAAAAAACACACTACATTATGTGTATTTTATTGTTTACTAGCTACTCGCCCTGGCTTCGCACTGATGTACATGTATCGTATATATGCCTATGCACGACAAGTATCTGCAGATTCTGCCAAACTGAAGAGGAAACGCCGCTTCACATCCTATGTGGTTGTAGCCCACTCATGCATAAACGAAATATCTCCTTTGGAAAGTTTACACTCTTTCCCGAGGAGATAAAAACGATCGCTCCTAAGTATATCCTTCAATTCTTGTCCCTGACGGGTCTAGGTAGCGAACTCTGAAAAGGGCGAGCACAATAGATCTATGTAGGTCGCAGTGCCACAGGTGCTACACATCTGACAATAGCCCAAACAATCCAATAAAAAAAATCGTATATATAAACCTTTCTCTTGAATCACTCTAACTATTAAAAAAAACCGCTTCAAAATCCCATGCGTAGTTTTAAAGATTTAAGCATACATAGGGACGGACAGACAGCGACAGCGACTTTGTTTTATAGTATGTAATGATGAAGACGGCTTCGGTGCTTTACCAGTTTATCACACTGCCTTACTGCCGTCGTGCGACATTACTGTGGTCGCAGGTTCGATTCCTCGAAAGGTTTTACATTTTTACATTTACAAAAAATATATATTTTGTTGTCTAGTGCCCATAACACAAACTCTGCTTAGCTTGAGGCTAAATGGCCCGATTTGATTGGCCAGGGCTATTACTATTATTTGAATAAAATTGATTCCTCTTCTAATTTGTTCTGTGTTTTTCTGGTTTCATTCTATTCTATTGCACTTCATATACACGGTGTAATGGATTTTGTGATGTCCGTGGTGATAAGCAAGTCTATCAGTGAACTAACATAAAAAAAGCGCGCGAAAATCAAATTACAAGCGGCCATTTTAAGAAGAGTATTATATGGAAGTAGACGGGAAACTGTTTTGTCAACGTCCTTTGAAGTTGTGTTTATTTACAAATTATACAGTTCAAAGCGCCCAGTCGGGAATTGCCAACGGCTATTGAGCGGTTACGTAGACTCTCAGTCTTGAGACAAAGGTATTTATTCGTAGCTCTCATTTTATGTATGACATTTAGTGATATAATTAAATGGTGTTATTTGAGGGCTTGAAGACATAAGCAAAATGAATTATGTCACTGTGTCCTTAAAGCAGCTTTTGCCTTGAACGTTAATAATCTGATTTTCGTTCTGAAATATTGAAGTAATGAATATCCTGGTTCCGCGAATCATTACTTTAATGGTTTTATTTTCTTTTCTAAGCCTCTTTTCAGGCACAAGTGGCTCTAGTACTCTTGAAGAGCGAGCGGTGAATTTTCAAGGTTCACAAATCCACGGAATAGCAACTCGCTAGCCAGTAGCTAGGGTAACTACTTTAGTAATCTCTAGTCGAAACCGCTCAACGGCCCAAATGTGGTAAAGAGAGATTTTTCGTTTACATTTTCCTCCAAGTCACTTATTTATGCGGATGGCACTCCAAACCCGTAGAATAACTTATAGGGCGGCCGAAGTCCAACTCCCGTCTGACGGATACGAGTATAGTCTGAGGGCACCGTTAGAGGTTCGAATCTCGGCTCAGGCCGTCGTAATTTCGATCCCCGTTTGGATTGAACGGGGATCGATCGGAGTATTCCACCTGATGGTAACAACCGTTGATTATATACAAAAATAGCATCATATAGATAAGGTCGTGTGGGAAAACCCACGTAAAATATTATGTACTATTACCAGTATAGGTACAATATTGCACGTGGGTTTCCCCACTTTTTCTTCTAAGAATATTATATTATTACAATATAGTTCTATTATCAATTTAGGTAATATTAATTTATCGTCATTTTCTACTACATTCACTTTGTTTGAGAGATTCCTGAACCGCTATTCCTTTGATCATTTCATTTTCTACTTATTATGTTGAAGTTAATTAAGTCTTGAAAAAGGTATACCTATTTATACTGGAGAATTTCTAAAATTCAAATCATAAGTTACAATTTTTATATTATTATTACAAATTAACTTTTACCCGAGACTTTTTTTTATAAAATATATTAGATATATTTTTTTAATGTAAAGAACTATTTGTATGATGCTTTTAGTGCAAAGCTTTTAATTTCAAATTACAAACAGACACTTCAATTATATTCATTTGTATAATTATTGTAAGAATGATTCACGTATAACTTAAACAATATTCTAGCAAAAGGGAATATCTTTATGCTGCACATACGGCAGTTAATACGTGAATAAAATATAAAGAGAACAGTGAAAAGGTAATATCTGTAATAAGAGAGTGTAGCTTAAAATAATATATTTCATGCAACTGATGCGACAATATCCCTTAGATACTCAAGATAAAATAGAATACAATATACTTTATTATCATATGACTACAGAACATTGTTTATCAGATTTTTACACGATATAAAGAAAGGAGGCGATTTTGACGGAACTTTCACGCACAGATAGTTAATCTGTTAATGTTAAGGAGTAATTTAAACCAGTTTTATTTTAGAAATATTCATTTTAATTCCAAGCATAAAATTCGCAAACAAAGTCACGGGTAACAGCTAGTCAATATTTATTTCTTATGTATGATAATAGTATGGTACACCGATTAGCGCTAAAAGTTTACGCTGGCGGGGCATCAATGGAAGATGATAAGATGAAGTGTGGTCAGGTCAGTTAGCCCATCATGACATATTCGTCAAGAATTTATCATAATTTCTAGGGGGAGTCGCTTGTAGGTCGACCTGATATAGTACATTGTTAGGAATAAGGTCACATTGCTAACATAATACCCTTCTTATAATACCCTTCTCCTAATAATAATAATAATAATAATATATTCCCTAATAATAATACCCTTCTCCCCAACTAGTCAATATTTATTACATTTACAATATACAAATAAATATAATTGTAGTCTGTTCGTAATTTGAAAATAAACAGATTTTCATTAAGGGCATCGTACATCAAAAAATCCATTTATTTAATTTTTGTCTATCTGTCTGTTTTTGCTAATCTTTAAAACAGCTAGTCTGAATTTTACGGAACTTTCACTCGCAGAAAGCTAATATTAGATAGAGTGACTTAGTTTACAAATCCATTTCGCAAATTGACTCGTCCGAGAATCGAAGCTACAAACTTAAGTAAAGCTACGTTCCTCCGCCAGATTGTCAATACCAATAAAATGTATTCTAATTCTTATATAATTTAGAAATAACTAGATTTTATCTCGACCGGGGCGAGACAGAGCAATATTCCATGAAATGTAAATTTATTGCCCGCCAGTGGCGCGGGGCGTCGCGCGGCGGTATTATAGGATTGTTGACTTACAAGAAGTAACATTTATTACTAGTACCTACATCCCGCGGAATACTATTTTATAGTACAACTAGCAGACCCGGCCACGCGTTGCTGTGGCTAAGGTTCTTGAATAAAATAATATTGTGACTATAAATTGAGATGTGACCTATCCTATCTTTCAAGTTGGATCAAATTGGACACAATGTGAAAATCAAATTTATAATCGGTTCAGTAGTTTAGGCATCCATCGCGGATAAACAACGTAACACGTAACTTTTATATATAACTACCTACCCACCCCGGCTTCCCGCGGGTGTACATGTATTATACATATAAACTTTCCTCTTGAATCACTCTATCTATTAAAGAAATCCGCTTCAAAATCCGTTGCGTAGTTTTAAAGATTTAAGCATACATAGGGACGGACAGACAGCGACTGCGACTTTGTGTTGTACTGTGTAACAAGGATAATAAGATTATTGTGGTTTGACGGCCCCGGTGGTCTAGCGGTTACTTACTTCCGATGGTCGCGCGGCACAAACATTTGTATTAATGAGTGTTTGTATCGGTCTGGGTGATTTCTCATATATATTATATTAGTATTTACGAAAAAAAAATTACTACCAACTAGTCGTTATTATAATTTAAACGATTTATTCTCAAAATTAGCATTACCATGAGTAGTAATTAAAGATTATAAATTATAGAAAACAATTGTCCGTTATGATATATATTTTGATATAGTTTTTATTATAATCTGTTATCTATTTCTGCAGCCTAGAAGCTTACATGCAACTGAGGAATCATGGCAAATTAGCTCTTATAAGTAGCAATGCTTAAAGAGTCATTATATCATCACAGTGATATAATATACGTAGCACTGTTCATCATTACTGATATGTAAAAAGGTTGAAAGTCTTATATTATAATTTCCAGAAATTAACTTAGCATGGTTTATAAATAAAAAAAATAGTAATTATTACATAAATATAAATAATAGTAATTATTAAATAAGTACATACCGGTCTCTCCTTTTGCAGTCGCTTCCTCAGAATCCCCCTCTTTCTCACTATCTGCCATTAGCACAATTATCACAAAATCACTACAAAAATGAACACAAACAGAATGACGGCTGTATGTCGCACACTAATGAATTTCCCTTAAATTATCCGTGTCACGCATCGCTTCCCATAAAACAGCCTAATTTTAAACATCAAAGGCAAGATAATATTGAAACTTCGATGGAAAAAATGGCGACGTCCTTAGTCTTCTTACTGATTTAAAAAAAATAATTTATAAGAAAATTTTAACGTTTCGTTCCACGTCAAACTTTCGCGCCAACGCGTTTTAAATATTTAAGAACTTGCATAGAATAAAAACACGTGTATGTGCTGCCAGTGTCGATCACACACTGTGTACCAAATCTATTTTGGTTGATATGATGTGTCAAAATTAATTTAATAGTACTTATGTGATTTATTCACATCATATGCAATTTACTGAGTTGTTTTGTATTTCATCAAATTTAAATACTTGGTACTAAATTTTAGATGTGTTGCTGTCACTTTTAATTAGTTTACCAATTTGCGTGGGTATCACCATCTCAGAGAAATGTTACCAGCTTACAAGTGTTCAGGTGTGGAAAGGGAAATATGGCAGTTAGATTACAGAATATGGAGACAATTAGTATATCATCATATAGAAATGACAACGTATAAAGACAAAGACTTTATACGGACAAAGGACGCTGTAGACAATCAGCTTGGATGTCACAATAAAAACGTTATTAAAATGACAATTTTATATAGATATCGTCACGAAAGTTATTAGTTATAGTCGAAGAAGAGACGGTAGACTAGGCAAGAATAATCTCATTTTTTTTCTGGATAATTAAATCTAATATTTTTATACGCCCTGCAATGGCAACAAGCTGACGCCCTTTCTAATGAAAAGTGGCGGTCTTCCTCTATATTAAATATTGAAGTACCTACTTACCACAGATAACTACTAGATTACTGGAACTTGATTTTTTTTATTTTTTTTTTATTTATTTAATATTTTACGGCTCTGGATACAAGTCCTTTTTAGCCCAACATAAATCTGGAACTTAAATCTTTGAGGAGTTGCCAGCACTGTTATTATTAAAAAGTTTGAATAGAAAACTGTACAAATAGCTCGTTACTGTTCAACTTTAAAATAGTTTATACAAAATCATAAAGCAGACGATTTTAATTTGTTTCAAATAAGAATTATTATAAAGAATATTTTTATAAGGTCTCCCTCTAAAGAGACGTGCCCGTTAATATTGAATTTTGTGGTGAGTAATGCGACATAATTAAAATGTATGTAAGTACGTAAAGCCTCTTTACAGAACTCTCTCTAATTGCCAAAACAGAACCCATACAATTTCCCTATATTTGTCCTCATTCGACATGACTTTTATTTATTTAATAGCTATGAAACTTTTTTTAATCATAATCTAAATATATACTTTTTATACCCCTATGTCAAATAGGGGTATAAAAAGTATATACAAAAAACTCTCTCTGCAAACTCTCTATGACAAATTTAGACCTAGGTAGATTTTATGAAAAATCTGCGTGGATCTTGCTTACATCAGTCGTCAAGCAGTTTATTTTATAGCATTTGTTTCGGTTAAAGGGTGAGATTAATTGAAATTACAGTATTTTAAGGCATGCATTTTATTTTAGGCAGTAAATTTACATCTTAGTCCTCTGATATGGCAACGATCAATGGTATCTCAGTACTTACGTTATCGTGTCCCATCCACCATACTGTTCATGTATATAGGCAAAGGTGAAATTACAGTATAAGAAAATTTACAGATTAATCCTCTAGAGTGGCAACTGTGAATGGTATCACGGTTCCTATATGATAACGTAACTACCGTGTTACCACTCCACCAATTACCATCCATCTTGTATTATATATAGGTAAAGGTTAGTGTTTACCATCAGGTGGGTTGTCACCTTGTTTACCATTACAAAAATAAGGCTCGAAACGAAATCATCCTGAAATTTAAAGGCTATTATCAAATGCATAGAATTTAAATTACAATCAAATACAAATCAAAACTAGTTTTTTTTACGGATGATAATGGTGTTGTGCACCCGCCTGCGCTAACGGTTTATGCTGGCGGGGCACCAGTGGAGGATGATAAGAAGAACATGAGGTGAGGTCAGTTAGCCCATCGTAACAAATTCACCAGGAATTTACCACGTTGGTTTCCCAGGGGGAACCGCGTGGAGATCAACCTGACATTGCTAATAATGAAGTCATGAGTCCACATTACTAACAATCCCCATTCCACCCAATAACTAGTACTTGATTGTAACTAGTACATAGTAATAATATAAACCTAACTACGTGTACACTGTTAATTGTGTATTTTCGACTACGCTAAATAGATTTTAATGTACCTAGTGAACGTTTTAGTACCAATAAAATTGTTAAATACAGTGTGGTTTTGGATTTTATGCACAACCGCAGTATTTTCTTTTACGACACAATGCTCTTTAATAACATAATCCTAATTTATAAATACACTGTGGCCCTGCAGATGGCGATAGCGGTAGTTTTATCTTGAAAACGTGAGGTCATAACACAACAAAAAATTCTATTCGTGTTTTTTTTTCAGGTCCTCTATTTCAAGGCAAAGACATACAATATGAACCAACTAGGCAGGGATGTCGCATCATTGATTTAAGTAATGCAATAGTAAAATTGCACATATAACGATATAAATATTTTTAGACTGTTTGCCACCATCGTAGTATAAAAAAAGTCGTCGTAACTGACGTTCATGTACCTCAAGTGTTTCTAACGCTCATAGACTGCAGTGGCCGAAATAAATACCATGTGGCGGGCCGTATATTGAATTACAATCCTTATAACATCATAAGTTAGGTCCATCTGATTGAAACTACTAATCAAAGTCTAATCTAAAAGTGTATTCTAGTTAATTCACCCAACTTGGGTGTATACTATACAATACGTTGATAGTTTTTTTTTTATGTGATAATGAAATGGTGCACCCGCCTGCGCTAACGGTTTACGCTGGCGGGGCACCAGTGGAGGGTGATAATATGAGCATTTACATTTCATCCCCTATTTTATTTTCCTCTTTTAAAGGTAAAATTTATATAAACTTTGAATGTAATATTTATTTACATTTGACGATACTTCCATACAACCTTTCATCTCTCCTTTCGACCCTTTACAACCCCTTTTTTCACTTTAAAAATAGCCTATGTCCTTCTTCAGGGTCTAAACTATCTGTATAATAAACTTCATTTAAATTTATTAAAGTATTTTGGGGTGAAAAACAGACAGTTATTATATTTCGCATTTATTATAATAGTAAGGATTTAATATATCATATAATTTAATAAATCTTATAGTATAATAATAGAGGTGAAGTTTGTGAGTTCGGATGTTCGGTGTGATCTCTAAATACTTACTATAGATTCGATTTTTAGAAATTCTTCTATTTTGCATAGCAAATTCCTAGAGTAAGTGTACAGTCCATATTACATCATGCTGCGACCAATAGGAGCGAAGCTGCAGTGAGAAATGTTACAGAAATTGGAAAAATGTAACTCGGAAATTGAGCAAATCTAACTAGTTGGCGGCTGCATAAAGCAAATCCTATTTTAACTAATAGTAAGAATGATAGATAGATAGATAGATATATCGTTTACTTCAATGAATTTGATTGAATGCGAATGTGTTTGTTTTTCGAGCGATCTACTGTATTAAGAGTCGTGACTCATTAAGAGAGAAATTCAAAGAGGCAAATATTCTCACCGTTGCTTCTCAATTTATATATTCAAATATGCTATATGTTCATAAAAATCTTGACTTATTTCCAAATAACAGCAATATTCATAATATTAATACTAGATTTAAAGACAAACTTGCTGTCCCCAAGTATCGTTTAGAAAAAGTCAATAGATCTTTTATGGGAATAGGTATAAAAATTTACAATAAGATACCATATATTGGAATTACCCTTAAATAAATTCAAAACATCTGTTAAATCATATTTACTGAGCAAGGCCTATTACTCACTAAACGATTACTTGAATGACGAGCGTGCATGGCAATAGTTTTTATGTTCGGGATTTTCATTTAATGTTAGACATAGATACCTATATAAATACCTATGCATTGTAAATAAACTGGATTTAAAAAAAAAGTAATTAACTTGAGTTTCTTGCCAGATCTTCTCAATTGGATCTATATACTGAACTGGACGGTAGGGAAAAAAAATATAATGTAAAAACTTGACGTTCATAAGCGGCTAAAATGTCCTACATTAATAAATGATTTTTGAATTTGAATTTGAATTTGTTAAGCTTTATTTATGACTATCATGAAATTTAAGTATCGTTTGAAATAGAGAAGGAAAAGGCTGTACAATTCCGGATAGAAGTTAGTAATGCATATTGCATAACGCATTTATATTAATTCCATAGGAACGTGCAAACAATTATAAAAATTATAATTATAATAGAAACAATTAATGCGTCATCATTATCATTATGATAATGATGACGCATTACATAGTATAAAACAAAGTCGCTGTCGCTGTCTGTCCGTCCCTATGTATGCTTAAATCTTTAAAAATACGCAACGGATTTTGAAGCGGTTTTTTTAATTAGATAGAGTGATTCAAGAGGAAATTTTATATGTATAATTCATGTACACCCGTGCGAAGCCGGGGTGGGTAGCCAGTTCTATTATATATCTACCGGCCATCTTTTTTTATGTAATTAAAATGGCTAATGAGTCCACCTGATGGTAAAGCGGTAACCGTCGTCCATATAGGTATCAGTACATGAACAGAACTATGGATGTTATCATGTAACGTTCGTGATACCACTACTCCGGAAGGCCAAGATGCCATGCTATTCTGAAATTTACTGTCTTATCACACTTGTTAACCGAAACATTATACATTGTAAACACCCAGACCGATACAAACAATCATACTCATTAATACAAATGTTTTGTGCGAAGAATCGAACCCGCGACCATCGGAATAAGACCGTGTGCTAAACCACGAAGCCGTCAAACATCTCATAAAGCCAGCTGCCTGATGAGAAATCCATACAGTTCACTTCATAAAAAAATCCATCAAATTCTTATAAATTCTCTACGCCTTGGAAAACTCAGTAAAATTTAAATTAAAAAGTTTTCGGTACCTACTTGATGTCAGTTTGTTTGTCATACAGCTGTGGAGGACATTAAATATTACTCCACTACACTAGAATGTGTTAGTGCAACAGGGCAACAATAAATTCCACTGCTCGGATCCTGTCTGGCTTGTGAAATATTAAATCCAGTACACTCATGCGCTCAACTAATCTCAGCCGACTCGAAAGCGGGATGGAAAGGGGTGAATATTTACTATCTATGAACACAGGCATCTTTGATCTTAATGCTACAGCAATAAAGATCATAATCCAATATCAAAACGAATTTATTACAGCACTCCTTATAAGTGTGCAAATTCCGATGCAATTTTAAGCCAGTCGTTACCGACAGTGAAATAATTAAGCGAGGAGTTTCAAAGCAGTTTCTTGAACTGTTTACATATTAATGTATTGATTAAATAATAAATATGCGGTTAAATAAGTCTGGCATTTATGGACTAGATCTTTGTTTCCTTATACACTATAACAAGTACCAAGTGGCAGAATATAGAAAGACTTTTATATATGTATATATGTCACCGTACCTCTTTATCGCAATTTCAGTTGCCAAGCACCAAGTGTTTCGTTAGTCGCCTATAAGAAAAAGAATGAGTTTTCAAAAATAAGTTTCGATAATTTTCTAAGTTACCTAACTATTACAGCACCTCCTTTTTTACTAAGGGAAACGTTGATTATCCTCCTACCATTTCATGTCTGTCGCCGTCGCCAAAAGACAATTTACACTATTTGTGTAACAAATAGTGTAAATTGTCTTTTGATTCTAATATTGAAATATGGCAGTGCAAATAATAGTTGCCATGGACAGAGTCGTCAGCTTGTTTAATATTCTACATTAAAAAAAAATATATCGAACAAGTAGTAATATTATACAACATGACAATGGTATGATGGCCATCCTACTATTGAACCAGGCAGACAAGTACGCATTTGGCTACAATTTTCTTCTTTAGCAGATATGGTACCTATTAAATAATATTATTCTGTATTGTATTCTTCTATTAGTACCAGCTACACTATGAAATGATAGAGGAAAGAAGACACCCGTCGGAACTAGTTACGTGTGTACATTGTACAAATCTTTTATATACCATCTGTAAATATATGTTCAATATATTTACAGATGGTATATAAAAGATTTGTACCTAAGAAATATATTTACAATAATACATATTATTATAAAGAGAATAGGTTCCAGTGACAGTCTTGTTATTATTCCACTCAGTGTCGTAAATTAGTAACTGAGCAACAGTGCTGCCGCGCGATGTAACTAAATTCGCCACACTCCCATTATAAACACTCGGAACCATTAAAATGTTTTAATAAACCAAATTACTGTTAACTCATTATTCCATTACTAAGCAAAAAACATCTAATAGTGCTCATATATATATATATATATATATATGCATTACATTCGTATAGTCAAAAAATTGAGAATTGCTATTTTTAATATAGCAACATTTCAATACGTCATTAGAATTGTCATGTGTCAGTGACACGATATGTCAATGTCACTAATGACATTCCCTTTATTTTTAACTTTGCACCACGAGTTGTAATGTTTTGTTTGTACTTTATTAGCAATAATATTTAAGCAACTTATAGAATATTGTGTTAATTTTAAACATTCCATTTGCTGTTATTTTCTAATAGTGTTCAAAATTTTATATCATGGCGGAAGATGAAGAAAACTTGCATCGTTTGGAAGGAACATCAGGTGATGCTCCCGGTGGATTAATCATCAAAAAGAAGGATCAACCTGCAGAATTTCAATTCGCAAAGCCTTCACTGTTGGGTCTAGATAAGTTGGCAGCAGCCAAACGCAAGCAGAACAGGCTGATATCCTTTCAGGACGATGTAAATGAAGATGACGACAGAGACAACAAAACAGACTCTACCGGTGTTAAAGAACGTAAATATAGAAAGCAGAATGAAGAAACACCAACGTATACTGGCGGGATATCGGACCAAGCGCGGGAACGCATGCTGGAAAGATTACAAAAGTAATAATCTTTTAAAACTTCACTGTTAATCTTATGTTATTGAATTCATATTCTTATTGGAAACTATAATTGTATTACAACACTATAAACCGGAATTTAAAAAAAAATAATAGTAGTATGACATGAAACTTAGTATGTTAGGTAGTGTTTTATAATACAATACAGGACTAGAGGGTTAAGGTGTCAAGTGGAAAGACATCATAGTCCACTGGAATGGCAACACATGATAAACTAGCATCCATAGTACTGTTCATGTATATGAGTTAGTGGTAAGTGGTAACATACCATGAGGTGGGCCCATCATAGTCTTTGCTTATTAATTCTATTACATAAAAACAAATATTCATCTAAATATATATAACTCAAAGGTGACTGACATAGTGATCTATCAATGCACAGCCCTAACCACTGGACGGATCGGGCTGAAATTTGGCATGCAGGTAGATGTTATGACATGGGCATCCGCTAAGAAAGGATTTTGATTAATTCTACCCCCAAGGGGATAAAATAGGGGATGAAAGTTTGTATGAAACTTTGTCAATTTTAAAACAATCGGACTGAGATTTTCCATACATAAAGCTACTATGACATAGGCATCTCCTAAGAAATAATTTTGATAAATTCCACCCCTAAGGGGATAAATTAACGCGAAGGAAGCAGCGGGCAAAAGTGTGTTACCTTTTACATATTACAATTAAAAAAGATAATTTATAAGAAACAAGGAAATAATGAATATCTTCTCCCAACTGCAATTTTAAATAACTCAGTTAATTTAGCTGTTACTATTGTCTTGAATTTAACACTCAACATGAATATGTCTCTAAATACAGTAATTAGAATGCAATTTAATATTTTAAAAATATGATTTACAGAAAAGATAAAGATTCAAAGGAGAAAGGAGTGCACCACTCCACACAAGAAGAAAAGAAATCAAGATCTAAAGATGATGAGGACGACAGATTCTACCGACATCGCTATGACAGACGGAACCGGGATCGTGACAGATATGACAGTCGTAGAAGGGATAAAGATAGAGATTGTAGGGACAGAAGAGATGATAGAGACTCGGAGAGAAAAGATAGGGATAGAAGAGACAGGGACAGTGAAAGAAGTAGAGATAGCTCACGGCATAGTTATTATGAACCACGGTTCAAGGATGAACCTAGGACACCAAGGTCTGTATTATACTTTTTATTGTAGCTTTTAATTATGTTTTTAACCATCAGATAATAAATACACTAGTAATACCTTATAAATAAATATACCTTACGATTTTTGTATTGCATGCAATTATTATGCTTGTACTCTAAATTTGAATAATGCTAATATTATAAATGTGCAAACAAACTGAGAAATATATACACACTTATATATTTATCAGTTTGTTCGTTTCCTGAACAGATATAAGAAGAGATTTTAATTAATCTTGATGTATCACAAGAATAGACATCTATGGAATGCCTATGTTTTATATCTAAAAGGTATCTTAAAGTTACCAGCTAACAAAACTTATTATTATACATTTCAATTCAATTTTCTGTATTAAAATTTTACTATCATCATGTTTATTAAATCAACATATTCATTCTTCATGCTAAAGTTACTAAAGTATTGCAGTACTAACAGTTATTTATTTATACCTTTTTAAAACCCAATTAATACCCCTAAACAGGGGTTGTTTAGTCCTCTTCCATGTTAATAATATAAATAATTATTTTTAGCATAAAAGCACTCAAGCCTACTGACAAGACTGCATGGGATGATGATGACGAGGACCCCAGAGCAATACGTAAATCCAGTTGGGACTTTCCAACGCCACTACCAAGAGATGCTGGTCCTTCGGATCGCTCACAACGCAGCGATAGAAGTGGCAGACCACTGAGGGACTACAAGGGGCGGTTATATGATGATACTACTAGAGCTACCCCTCATAAGTAAGTAATGTATTCTATATTTTTTTTTTCTATCTGCGATCAGCCCTTCCGACTATAATCAGATTTTTTGATGTTATAGGCATTCTACTAATTTAACAAAAATTAATCTACTTTCTCAACAAAATGTGGGACTACACTACACAGAAGGCCTCAGTGGTCTAGCGGTTTAGGACACTGCCTTACTACCGATTGTTGGGGGTTTGATTCCTTGCATGGTGCATATATTTGTATTCATAAGTGTGTATATTATGTTATTAAGGTGTTACTAAGGGTGTCACATGAAGATGTGATGTTCCAAGTCTTGTCCATATCTGTAGGAGATGAATGCGACATTCCACTATGTACCATCAGTATGTTTATTATTCTTGTTCGTTCATTCATCATTTAAAAGCTACACTCTAGTGGATGAAGCTCTTGCTACTTCTGCAATTATAGTTATATTAAAAAATACAGACTTCATAAATAGGTATCAATTTAAAAAAATTATAATGATAAGTTTTATATGAATAACAAATTGTAAACTAAATATTTTTTGTAGATTTGCAAGTTCCAGAAGAGGTCTAGATATGGACGACCCAGAATGGCAGGAAGCAGAAAAGAAACTAGATAGAGCATGGTACAACATGGGAGAAGGTAATTTTGTGTATAATTCTAATAGATAGAGCTTGAACCAGTTAGGGCTGCTAATTGCTTAGTGACGAAATCAACCCAAGACTTAACATTATTATATGTTATAATGACTATCTACAATCATATTTAAAAAGAGTAAGACTATATTTTCTTATCAGTTTTCAAATTAAGTCGCTAGCCGAACTGTACGGTATGAATTATCTTAGATAATAATAATAATAATAATTCACCGCTGATGAATCGCATCTTGTGACATCCAGCGTCAGCCTTATTTACCAGACGTGCCCTGGCGATTTTCCCCAGAAAGCGGCTCTTTACGACATTTTCTAAATTGTCTCTCCATATTACATGGATTACCCTTGCCATTTTAGCCGTGCCACTTATAATAATCACATGTCCACCTCCTACGTGAATCAGGTGTTCGATACGGAAGTATTGTAGCATTTGACCCATCCGATCAATTCCCCGTCCCATTTAAAGGGGCATAGAAATTAGGACGGCCTAAGACGAGGTTTGAACCCCTAGCAGTGACTTCTGTTAGTTCTCAGTACGACTAAAGTCATATCCGCCCGGCATGAATTGGTCTTCAGCCGCTCCATAAGTCCTTTCGTAGATTTAGAATGCCATCTGTACTCGCCACCTATCGTCCCTTGAATCTATAGAGGCCAGCTGCGGCCAACAGTATTAGAGTAGTCCGAAAAAAAACTAGCATTTGAGTGGGAATCATTTTTATTAACGTGTATAATATGTACATATTTTATTATTTTTGTCTAGGTGAAGCGGATGAATCCGATCCGTTTGCGGATACAAGCGCTGAATATATCGCGCGTAAAGAGGAACAGATAGAGAAGCGGCGTAATCGCAAAGTATCGGCGCAACGCCAGCAGATAGACAAAGACAACGAGCTGTGGGAGCGGAACAGAATGCTGACTAGTGGCGTCGTTCACTCTATCAACGTCAACAATGATCTAGACGAGGTACACAAGTACATATATTAATATATATTAATATACTATATCAATACAAAAGTTAACCCGGCAGTGAAAATTGCGTCAGTTATAGACAAGTTGCGAGTAACAGATTCAGTTGGTATGGGCATGTTATCCAGAGGAGCGAGGACTTGTTGTCTTAAAGAAAGTGTTTAACATAAACGTGGATGCATATAAAGGTGAAGACAAACAAAAAAATAAGGATCGATTGTGTGAATGATGATATGTATAAAAGGAGTGTAAGCTCAGATACGATGGCTGATAGGGATCAGTGGAAGAAGAGGCATAATGTGCTGTGAAAAGATCCCATCCAATGGGATGGTAGTGAAAGCAATATTTTTTTTATTTAATGTAAATTTTAGGCATATAAAAAAAACTGCGCAACTTCTCTATATAAACTATAAGTTTTTTTTCGGACTACTCTAAAGCTGTTGGCCGCAGCTGGTATTTACAGCTTTACCGGATGTTAGGTGGTGAGTGCAGATGGCACTCCAAACCCGCGGAAGGACTTATGGAGCGGCTGAAGGTCTGCTCCTGCCTGACGGATACGACTTTAGTCTGAGGGCACGCTTATGGGTTCGAACCTCGGCTCAGGCCGTCGTAATTTCGATCCCCGTTTGAATTGGACGGGCGATCGATCGGAGGCGGCGGCGTCAGCGGGGTTTATTGCGCGATATTGTGTGTTGAGGGTCGTCGTCTTCTCCGGCGAGGACGGTGTCGTGTGTGCGTGTAAAAGTGTGGTCGGGGTGAAACTTTAAGTGTGCGAAATTTCGTGTATGATTACTGAAAACCGCAACAGCACAATCGAAGTACGCGTGATTGGGCGAGCGAGAGAAACGCGCACGCACTATCTCGTTCTCTTTCTGTCTCCACTCTACATGCAAACTCTTTCCCGCGTTAAAGCCAAATCCCGGATGGAAGAGCGTACGTGTATAGGCTATTGTGTCCCTTTATGTTTAACAACATTTCTTCTTATTTTGAATTTCAGGAGAGTGTTGACCGCGTGCATCTTCTAGTACACAATATAGTGCCGCCATTTCTTGATGGAAGGATTGTTTTTACTAAGCAGCCTGAGCCTGTCATACCGGTAAGCTATCAAGCACTGGACTGTCTTTGTATTATTTATTTCTTTGACGGTTCTTTGAAATATATCTATTTAATATCATAATAATTAGGTTAAGCTAGCTAAAGCTTGTGTAATAGATAACTATACAAATACGTACATTTTTTTTCGTAAATATATACACACCTATTATATATAGAAAACAAACAATCATACTCATATGTCTATGTGTATCAGTTATTTAACTACTCATTACACAAGTTTTGCTTAACTTGTATAATATATTCAATATTCAATTGAGTTTCTTGCCAGTTCTTCTCTATTGGAACTATATACTGAATTGGATAAATGTCCTATATGATTAAATGATTTTTTAATTTGAATTTATATTTATATCTATATTATAGGTAAAAGACCCGACTGCCGATATGGCAGTGAACGCACGCAAAGGTTCTGCCTTGGTCAAAGCATTCAGAGAGCAGAAAGAGAGACGAAAAGCACAAAAGAAACACTGGAAGTTGGAAGGAACAAAAATTGGTAAGGCAAACCTATACTACTGTTATAACAGTTAAAAAATATACATAATACTTTTTACTTATTATTTTTTTTAAGACACTGGATACAGAAACATGATATCTTTGTTCTTCGAAATGGAAACGCATGAGGGGTATGACATGATAACGTAATGTCGGAGTTAGTATTTCTCATACAAATAAAATAAATATATTAGTATTTCTATCAATTGTCTAGTACCTAAAACACGAGCTCTGGTTAGATAGATGACGCTGTGTGAATTGTCCGATTGTTATAGATTGTGGTTAGGTCCATCAATAATAATATATAACTTAAGTTACAACTTCATTTCACCGTCAAATTATATACAAAAGTACAACACGGAAATTTCAATTGTAAATGTAAATTCCCTACAATATTTTACTGAAACTGTAACAATTATGTTTATTTTTCAGGTAACATTATGGGGATACAGAAAGAAAAAGAAGAACTAGAAGATGGACCCACTAAGGAAGCTTACAAGTACGCTGAACATTTAGACAAACGTAAGTATTTTTTTTAATTAATACATCCACTCATTAGTCTATGGTAGAATGTCCTCGCACAAAAACAGTTTTTCGAATTATTCAAATTCACGACTGGAAGCATTTTTTTAAGTTCAAACCGCTGAGTTTGTGACGCCTGTTATATATTACTGGCTGTCCCGGCCAACGTCATTTGCCTTATAAATTAATATCTCTATTAAAAAATAGGGGTTGAAGGTAGACGGTTGAAATTTAGGGTTATATGTATTTTTTGATGTCGAATCATAAATGAAATAACAAAAAATAATGTCAAAAAGTAAATATATTTTTTTTATGCTGAGCCACCCTTATCACTTAGGGGTATAAAAAATAAATTAGCATAAAACAACCTATTCTCAGAGCTACCGAATATACAAGTAATATATCATCAAAATCGGTTCAGTAGTTTAGGATTCCATCACAGACAAACAACATGACACGATTTTTCGGGGTCAGCTACTTAATGGTATAATAATGATGTAGTGATGTTCATGTATATAACCAACGGTTGCTACTTACCATCAGGTGGACCGTCAGCTTGTATGCTATTCCAATAATATTAAAAATGTATCTTCATTTATAAATTGTAGAGGAAGAACCTGAGTCAAAGTCAGAGTTTGTGAAGAAGAAGACTATAGCAGAACAGCGGCGTTTCTTGCCCGTGTTTGCTGTGAGAGAGGAGCTCATGCAGGTCATCAGGGAGAACAACGTTGTCATCATTGTGGGTAAGTGAGATTATAAATATAAGCCGCAGGGGGGAGGGGATTGTTAGTAATGTGGACTAATGATCCCATTGCTAGCAATGTACCATGTCAGATCGACCTCCACGCGGTTCCCCCTGGAAACCATCGTGATACATTCCCGGTGAATTTGTCACGTTGGGGTAACTGATCTGACCTGTTCACCATATCATCCTCCACTGCTGCCCCGCCAGCGTAAACCGTTAACGCAGGCGGGTGCACCATTCCATTACCATCCTTTAAACAAAATATATAGGCCGCAATAAATGTAAAAATAAACTACATAAATGGATATTAAATCTTTCTAGTGCTTCTAGGAGTATCTCTTTAGTTGGTGTATACGACTTCAACTTTTCCTTAATCTGCTTGACACAGCTTTGTCTTTGCCTTCCCCTTCCTCTTTTTCCTTATATCAGAGTTCTCTCGAAAACGACTTATCAAGACCTACATTAGACCTGGAGTATAACCTGTATGCTTGTGAGACGTGGACAATAGTGGACATTGACTCAAAAGAAAAGGAATAAACGGAAGCTTTTGAAAAGTGGTGTTGGAGAAGAATGGAAAGAATTAGCTGGAATGATAAAATAAGAAATGAAGAAGTTGCGCAAAGGCATAAAGAGAGAGAGAGATCATAAATATTATTCGTTGTTTTTTGCCCCGCCTGCGCTAACGGTTTACGCTGGCGGGACGCCAGTGGAAGATGATAAGATGAATATGAGGTAAGGGCAGTTAGCCCATGGTGACAAATTCACCAGGAATTTATCACGATGTTTTCCAGGGGGAACCGCGTAGAGGTCAACCTGACATGGTACATTGATACTAATGGAGTCATAAATCCGCATTACTAACAATCCCCTCCCCCCTGTGGAAAAATGTTGGAGCGCTACACGACGAACTTATGAATTATATTTATTCTGACAGTGGTAAAGGTATTATTATTATTATTATATTTGGCAGGTGAAACGGGCAGTGGTAAAACTACTCAGCTAACCCAGTACCTTCACGAGGAAGGCTTCAGCCGCCTCGGCATGATCGGCTGCACTCAACCACGCAGGGTCGCCGCCATGTCGGTCGCCAAGCGAGTCTCCGACGAGATGGACACTAAGCTAGGTAATATACTCATAGCCACAGACTAAAAATAGAAGAGTTTTTATTACACGTAAAAATAGGTAATATCTTCATGGCCACAGACTAAAGAGGAGAAAAGTAATAGTAACATTAATAAATATAAAATTAAATAATTTATTAATTTAGGCGCTCATGAACGTCAAATTTTGTGTGTTTATTAATATTTTTTCCTACCGTCCAGTTTAGTATATAGAGTCAACTGAGAAAAACTGGCAACTCATCTGAATTTATCTTATTTTAAAAGTCAGTACATTATAAGTGTGTATGTATTTATATGATTAGTATAGTACCTATAACACAAGCTCTACTTAACCTAGAACTAGATGGCGCTATGTAAATTGATCAAAGATATTATTAATATTAACTTTGGACGTTAATTCCAGGCGACGAAGTCGGATATGCCATCCGTTTCGAGGACTGTACATCCCCAAACACTGTGATCAAGTACATGACAGACGGGATCCTCCTCCGCGAGGGTCTCCGGGAACCAGATCTGGACCACTACTGCGCCATCATAATGGACGAAGCCCACGAGAGGTCCCTATCTACTGATATGCTGTTCGGTTTGCTGCGGGAGGTAAGTGGATATATTTTAATACTAGCTGTGCCTACGGTTTCACTCGCGTGAAAAATGTAGTCTATATTTTATTCTAATTGCTAATCTTTAATACTGTGAAGTTTCATTAAAATCCATTCTGTAGTTTTTGCAGCAACGACTAACAAACATTCATCCATACTTACAAATTAATAGGATTTACTCAAACAAATAAAACTCGTTTGATTTGCAGTTGCGTAGTGTATGGGTGAGCAATCTCTTTAATCAACCGAGTAAATGTAAATTTATTTTAAGTAATACATATTAATAATGTTCAAAACTTTATTTATAACAAACATTAGAATCAAAAAAAGGCTACTAAAGGCAACAGTCGGGAAATAAAAATCACTACCTTCAGAGATGGTTAAATTTTTGTCTAAAATTATTCATTCATAATTTAAGAGTGACACTCTTGTCGGTGGAGCTCTTGCCACTTCCGTCATACTCTTTAAACATTGATACAACTCCAATTCTGTCTTTGATTTGCTTGATGTAACTGTACCTTGTTCTTCTTCTCCCCCTCTTTCCTTCTATCTTTCCCTCAATAATAACTCTCATAAATTCGTGCCATATCAAGTGTCCCAACAGTTTTCCTCGTCTATTTTCTATAGTATTCAATATCTGCCTTTCTTTCACCTGTGTGATACTTCTTCATTCCTTATTTTATCTTCCATATACACCACATAAGCTTCCAGTTTATCCCTTTCTTTTTGAGTTAATATCCACGTCTCATAAGCATACAAATCTATACTCCACATATAGGTAAAATATAGGTACTTAGTAAATCGTTTCTGTGAGGTCTTTGATACCTTAGCACGTAAAAGGTATTTTTTGTCATTAATAAGTACTTGTTTTGCCATGGTTATTCTTGTCGTAATATCTGTATATATCTGTCGGTATATCTGGATATATCTCTGCAATTATTGACTATTCTATTACAATTTAAATTAATTTTCTTTAGTCAAATCTATTATAGACTCGAGCTAAGAACTGACAAGAAACTCAGCTCGTATTTTTTTCAAATGAGATTGTTCATGATTATATTAATACAGATTCATGTTTAAATTAAATTAGGGAGAATGAAAATCAAAATATTTTTATTCATGTAGGTCTATTATACTCTTATATGTCAATTCTACAGTCATTTCGAGCAAAGAAGAACTGACAAGAAACTCAGCTCGTATTCTTTTCAAATACAGTAACCACCAGCATATGCTAATGGTTATTTGTTAAAAGAAAATAATCTAATCAGTGGCTTTAAGTCGAACAGTCCAGACCAAATTAAATATATTACCTTGAATGATTAACACGACGGCATCTAAACACAAGCCAAGATCTTGTACTAATCAACTGCATAGAATAAGTGATGACATCTTTCATATAAATACATAATCTAAATATATATCATTATTTTGTATGTGTGATTGTGATCTAACCCCTAAACCGGCTTTTTTGTATGATTTTGTATGCAAACTTCAAACCAAAATATTATTTGAAGTCACAATTAGTCCCGATAGGTGGCACTCTGACCAAAACAGTCATACTAATGAATTAAAATGTCTTCATTATGCAAGCATCGAATCCTCAACCCTGACGGACGGTGAGGCAGTGTACTAAACTACTATACTATCGGGTCCCGAAACAAAGTAAACTAACATATAAGGATGTAAAATATACAAAATATAATCAAGTAATCATTTATTTATAAAAAAATGCATTATAAATAGAACATTTAAATTACGAGTACAATACTCTCACAACAGTCAATAGATTGTCATAACATTAGGTCGTAATTAAAATACATTTATAAATAAAAAAAAATACTTTGAATAACGCTTCAATACTCCGCATTTAATCAACGTTAATGTCGACCACGAAAACTCTACTTATATGTTCATTATTGTTTGATTCTTAATATTCTTGTCACAGTTTTCGTGGTCGTCCCATAATTAATTTTCATAGAAAATCACAACAGTCTTTCAATTAGAAATCATTAGCAGATTTAAAGAAATACTCATAAGACTAGGGTTGTCACTCTCAGACCATAAAACGATTTCCTCTTAATTATTATCGCTTATTTTAATATAAAAGTATAGATAAACATTGTAATATCAATAGATTAGAGCATTACATCAAAGATTAAAGTAAGCCATATGGCGTCTTTTTATTATGTCAGGAATGTTTTATCTTTTGTCAATTCACGATGGTAAGCAAATAGCTTGAAAGTTGTTTTAGATACGAATAAGAATTTAGCGACACGATAAGTGGAGCGAATCAAAGAGAGACAATGGAAGTGAATACTGTCATAGAAGAAAAAAAAATGAGAATCAAAGAAAGAAAAAATAAATATGATATTCAAAAAAGGAACTCAACGAACGATTAACGTTCGGATTGATTTTAAAATTTGACCCGCAACGGTTTTGTAACCGAACGGGCATTCGATTTTCAAAATTTTAAACATAATCGATGTTCTTGGACCTTGGTGGCCAGAAGCAAGTGTAGCAGTGGAGTCCAGCGGTGGAACCGCTGGGCTGCGACACTCAGACCGACTTGGCTTTTTCTCTTGCATGGTTTTGGCTGACCAGCATCACGCCCATGTTCATGCCGATGTTGCCCCACTTGAGCGACTCACTTATCTGAAACAAGAGATTTTACAAATTATTACGATGTTGATTGATTATGATGATTATTTTAATTTATCTATGAAATAATAAAATTCAATTAATTCTCATATAACTGATGATAATTTTATTTTAAACTTAAAGGACCTTCAGTGTGTTCCGGGCTCTCTGTACATAAAAAATTACTACTAATTTACTATCTTTATTTAATCGTTAAAAATTTTCGAAAAGTTACACTAAAAATATTTACTATTTTATGCTATAATTTAATTTAACAATGATTTTAAATTTCAATTGACAATATAATAAATTACCGTTTGTTCATTTCTACGCAAATAATAAGAATATACTATATATATTTTGAGCTTTCATAGATAATGAAAAATATAAGAAAGAATATCTATCTATCTAAAAACGCTATAGGTATATCTCTAAAACTCTAGTTAATAATGATAACTGGGTCCTACCACACAACGTTGTATATACTATCGTTAAATGAAAACCTAAGATAGAGTCAATTAATGTTGAAAACACGTATAAAATTAATCTTATATTCTAGTATTATTTACATAATAATAATAATAATAAATATAATAAATGTATGTAATAACACATAATAATGAATATGTAGGATAGTCATAATATATGATAAGTGTGTGAAAGTATACGAATATGTACTGACATTACGTAACTTTAGAGTTCAAAATCTAATTTTATCTTAAACAATTTTTATTTACCGCAGTTGCCTACGCTCGGTTATGTCATGTTAATATTTAAAAAAAAACAATGAGTTCTATACATATTAAAGTCGTTATCAACGCTAAACCTGTTAACTTTGTATGACTACATACAAAATTGTATTATATTGTATTTATTGACAGCTTATTGATTTAGACGATGTCTGGCCACGTATTTATACAGTTTGTCTTAATATTGCGTATAATTAATTTTTGAAATAAATATTTTTTTGGGAAAGAAATTACACTAAAGAAATTAATTATATGATAAGTTTCTCTAATATGTTGTACCACAATATCAGAGATAACTAATTATTTATTTTTATTAAATATTTAATAAAGTGAGAGATTTCTTATGTTTTATCAATGAAAATCTCATGTCAAGATTTTTTCAATAATACACTCTGTATTACTATACTACTAAAAATACAGAAAATTTTAAGTTAAATCTCACAAAGGAACAAGAGCAAAGTTAAAAAAAAAGTTAGAAACTCATAATCAAAATCCAAGTTATTAATAATAATATCTCAGGCAATTCACACACTGCCATCTAGTCCCAAGCTGAGCAGAGCTTGTGTTATGGATGCTAGACTACTGATAAAATACTTAGATTTTTTTCTAATTTAATACATATAGTGAATACCCAGGTCAATACAAACATACTCATGAATAAAAATATTTGTACTATGCGAGGATTGAACCCACGGCCATCAGAAGAAATGCGACGTGCTAAACACGGAGGCCGTCAAAAACATTATCAACATCTTGATTAGATCTCGGCACGTTTATAATATAGATTATATGATAATGTATTCACATCATTACGTGACTTGAAAGACAAACAACCTACTTAGTTGGTTATATGACGTGAGTTCCACACGTAGTTGTATGTATGGTTCGTTTGACTCATACATTTGTACATAAAACGTGAAATGTAAACGGGAAAACGGCACGTATCAATTAGAAACATGTGTTGTTTTCTCTTTCTAATAGAAAATATTAGAGAAAGACAAAACATATTATTATAATTGGATATAACGATTAAAGAATTTAATTTTCTTTTTGTACTTAAATTCAGCCATTGAACATTTATTGTTCTCTGAAATGATGTTTTAAAAAAAAACTGCAAAAGGAAAACGGCCCGTATCAATCAGAAACATGCACTGATCTCTTTCCAATAGAAAATAGAGAAAGACAAAACATATTATAAATTACAATTGGAAAAACAATTCAAGAAATTAGATTTCTTTTTCTACTTAAATTCAGCTTTTGAACATTTATTGTTCTCTTAAATGATGTCATTCCAAAACACCTGAATAAACGCCTTTAAAACTTACAATTGTTTATGGTTCATGTTAGTTTTTAATCTGAATAACTTTATATTGAAACATTCTTGCATTAAGTATTGTAATTAAGTGGGTATTCATTATACGATTTACTTTTATTGTCAATTGTTTTTATTTCCAATTTAAATGCTTTCTGTATAATAAAATAATGCAATTGTTGAACGCGATATCTTTTTACTTTGTTAATTATTCTTTTATAAAGGAGTTTTTTCTTGTTAGAGATATAACATCTGTTAAATCAGATACACAAAACGCTAAGCAAAAACAATACATACTCTATAGGATAATTACTATGATTATAATATTCTAAACTTGATGATGTGTTAACCTTCATATACGTTAGAACTCGTGTTGTGTCTGTTTGTGTGTTGAATACGTGTAGGTATATATTAGTACAAGTGTTTTAAACATATAAGGTATCATCATGAATACACACGTACACAGAATAGGGGCACATTGAAATCCGGTACAATTTATATACCAATGGGTATTTAAAATATCCTCACCGGTATTTGTAAATGTTGCAGCTGTAAGTGTCCAAAGCGCCTCAACGATTACCATCAAAAGATGATAATCATAGGTGTTTTCGACGTCGTTAAGCTGATCTGTAACAAAATTGCTACTTTGTGCGATCTTTGTTTTTTTATTCGTCGATCCCATTGTCTCGGTGCCCCATGCATTAGCTGATGAATGATCTTCTCCGCCGATGCAACCAGTTGCCAATGTATCCGCTGTGACTTCGGCTATGAGCCCAATGTGAGTTCTCGATGGAGTATACTTAGACATTCACACAAGCACAAATGAACCTTAATACTAGCGATAATGACTGATTGTTGTAAAGTATTGTACGGCAATGACGCAAAGCTGTCCATACAGTTTCTATGTAAACGGTGTTAACTCGGTTGATAAAACATGCAATAATGACAGTTGTAAGGACAGCTTTGCTTTCGTTCATTGATATGTGCATGCAATTCTTTAGAACCGACAACACAAAGTAATGGAATTTTAAAAAGAAAAGTTACTTTACTTTAGATATCGTAAGTATGAATTGGGTGTTTAAAATAGATAATTCTAAAATATCTAGAAGTTTCTCTTATGTTTTGTATTTTTTATGGAATAGTTAAAATAATAATGTGATATGCATGGATTATTTACCTGTCTCATGCGAGCCTCTTGCGGAGTTTCTCCATAACGACACCAATGGACGAAATGTAGTGTATTATGCCAGTTCCTCTCGAATCTTGACTTTGTTGCCATATCCAGCTGCAATCAGTAGAAGCTCCTTAGTAGCGGTTTCCACTGTTCACTGTGTCACGTGTCCACAGTGCCCAAAGAACGAAAGCCCCACGAGGCTTTCGCTATCTGAAATGAGAGGTTTCCAATTCTGACGCAAGCCTAGCGAATGAAGGAAGAACTTCGAAGTTCGATAGAGGTAATAGATATACCATTGAAGGTGTGAATTCATGCATTAAATCTTTTAATATAACTTTATTTGATGTGGTCGGAACGACTAAGAAATTTCTAGAGATTGTACTGTAATTAGGAGATGATCTATATTAAAAGTCAGCGAACCGTAAAAATTGAATTCAATATTGTTCTATATTTATTTTTATACACGTCTACGAATGGGAATATTGCTTATTTGCATTTAAATGGAGGTCATCCAACGATTGTAAGTTTCGTTTTACGCGGTGTTTTCAAACACAAGTACGCATAATAAGCGCGAACAAGAATTGTTTACAAATCGATTTGGGTTAAGGCGTCTGGCCGCTAGTCTAATGTCGTAATTACTGTTTTCTGTCTACTATTAGCAGTTACGTTGCAAAAGTATCTATAATCTCTTGATTGAATCGTCATTGTATGTCGTCATCGAAGGCCGTCTTATGTCAATGTGAGGGAAGTACAATAACGTGTTTAGGTGTTGATAAACGGTTCGCTGATATATTATTGAAATCATCTATTCTGATGATTAAAACGATAATTATTTCGATTAATATGTAGGTTTTCCCTACGCTATGCATCATAGTCTTAAATGGAATCGGTCAATTATGACGACAATTGATAAATATCGGAAAATGAAAATTTCATTTGCCCTAAAAGTTGTAAGGAATTGGAAACTTTCTGACTTGACCCTTGTCTTTTAATATTTACCTTGGCTCTTATGTCCTTTTCATTGTTAGGTGTCTCCTGTTTGTCATCAACGTTGTTTATACGGATCACAGAATCTTTCTTCCAGAAGGCACTCAGTGTAGTCTTCACGACTCGTTTACGTAGACCCTTTTGTTGGACTGTATACACCTCTATCTGTTCCGCATTCTTTGTTTTTTCTGTCAACAACACATTACAAATATAAAATAAAACTCCACGACCTTCTTAAATCGTTCTTTAGTATCTAATGGAAATTGATAAATAGCCAAAATCAGTTTTGATAAAAGGAATCTAGTTACAGCAGTTTCTCAAGGAAACGGATAAATAACTTCTGATCGTTTTAATTAAATTACTTTAACGACATTTTATGTCCGGCTTTTAATTCATCAGCGTTTAATGTAATTGAAGCGATGCAATGGGCAGCGTTACATGAATAATTTACAAGTGCTATTATGCGCCCGATCGTACACGACCGTGGCCGAACGGTGGCAACTTCAGTGTCGCTGCGACTCTTTTGTGTAACGCACGTTATCTGTGTTATTCTTTACGATAACTTCGCAAGGCTGCTCGAATATAATATTGCAACAATACTTCAAACAATGTTGTATACATACCTTTACCCTTTTTCCACATGGCAATCGCGTACATACGGTAGTCTGGTGACAGAGTGGAATCTGGCGGCAGTGGATCCTCTGCCCGAACTTCCAAGACGAATCCAGACTCAAGGACAGCACATAATATGTTCTGTTCATCATGCTTGAACCACTTAGACTCGCGGAGCTTGTGTATCGCCACTGAAGACCCGAAACGGGGTTTCTTTGGCGCGAATAAAGCTTGAGCTTGACTTCCAAAACGAGATAAGAGCCCCTTCACCGTCGGTGGCGATGCGAGGCTCTTCTCGGGCGGCTTGATCTGCTGGAAACTCCGGCAGGTCACGAACCTCGCTTCCATTGAACCTCTCCTCTCTAGAATTTACAAAACAATTCTCCCCACTTAACTATTGCGAAGTTGGTATTTGGTGGGCGTTGGCGGCAAAGTACTCTCACTCGTGAAATCGCGTTTTATATGCAACACTTTCACAATTATGTGCGCGTGGTTTTGGTATCGCGGGAGCGCAGAGCTACACGGTGGCGTTGTAACGTTAGACGCGGCGCGCGCGTGGGGGCACAGTTTTATACGGCTGAGGGGGGCTGGAACGGCGGAGGGGGACACAACGCTCTTGGTTGACCTCTCTAGTGATGTCCGTTGTCGATAACGCGTTATTAGTATGTAACAAGTATTTTAAACGCTGTTATTTAAAAATAATATTTTCAACATTCCATTCAAATGTTTATTTGGTAACTATTATAGAAAATACTGCTACACTAGTTATATAATTCGATATAATAATATTATAGATTGTCAAATATTTTCAATCAGTCTCAGTCTGATCGTTTTTATATTTTTTGTAGTTTTTCTCATATAATTGAGATATATATACGCGAAATATTTATGTCCCAAGTAAAAACTTTTTAATATCGCGTTTCTGTACAATTTTAAATAATAATATTAGTATTTGTTTAAAAAATAAAATATATAATGAAAGTACATTTAAACTTGTTCAGAAAATGAGCTTAATATTGCACTGTACTATGTATATATTTTTTATTATAAGCTGTATTTAGAACTATATCAATAACAAACGCAGTTATCCAATTCAGTTATAAATATACCTGTTATTGGAACGTTAATGTAACTGTTATCGACAAATGGTTCGAGCTCTTTAATTCCGTTGCAACAAACTCGACGTCACTCACTGTCACACCCCTCCCCCTTGCTAGCTCCCCTCCAAGCTCCCCTCTTGCTTCTGCCCCCTCGCACCATTCCCGCGACATGCCGGCGCCAACCGGCAGGTATTTCTTTTTCTCTTTTTTTTTACACTCAAGTCCGCAAATAGTAATTAAATAAGTTATTATTTATTCGTCATGCCGTAATGGCTTTAGTTTTTTGCATGTATGTTTATTGTATGACTAGAACAAGTTGTTTAGTATACTAATACGAGAGACTACTTATTGAGAAGTTGTTTATTGCATCTGGAAACATAACAGTAATTTCTTTCTGGAATGTTCTTTAAAAAAACGGAGACCTTTAACTTGCAGTTGGTTGTCAATAAAACCTATTGTAAAACGAGTATAGAATTACAGACGGTCGAGGTCGTCCGTTCTATACATATCGGCATTAACTTTTTATTTTAAAATAATGTCCTTGTCGTAGCGCTGCATTATTTAAACGGCTTTTTAATCGCGCATGACAACTTCAATTTATTACAGCACGTTTACGGCTTTGTAATCAATAAAAAACTATATACTGTTATCTAGTTACAAATAAATAATTTTAAAAAGTTGCAGATATATTATATTTTTCAAAATTAGAATGCAATTCATATTAATTAAATCATTATAAAAATAGTTATACATTCCAATTTTGAATTCATCATATTAATTTGAAATTAGAATGTAAACCAATATTTTTGTTTTTAAATGGTGTCATAATATTATGTAATATAGACGTACAACATTTAGTAATAATCTTCCATTTTTGTGGTGTAAATATTCTTATTTGACTACTATGTATTGCCATTACAGAATTATCCTCCTGTAGGGGACACTTGTCCAGCAACAGGACTAATGTGACAACTAATTAACAAATCATTTAACACAAAACTGTTCTCCTCTAATTACAAGAGACATTACAAATAATTGAAATGTAAGAATTGTATTTCCATATACTTATGGTGATGAATCGGCGAATAATCCGATTCGTTCAGTCTTCTTTTCCTTCCTCAATATTCATCAACCAACTCATAAAAGACGAATGGACGAATCATTACTGAATAGTTTTAATTTTGTATATATTTTAATATTATAAATCTTACTAACTACTAACTTACTGTTTAGGCGTATGGATGGATGGATGTTTGTTGCTCTTTCACGCAAAAACTACGTAACGCATTTTGTTGAAACTTTACAGTAATATAGCTCATACATCAAAATAACGCATAGGCTGTAATTTTATAACATATTATGTAAATTGGTCGAGATATTAGAATAAATGTAAAGTAAGTGTAATACAGACGAAGTTGTGCGGGTCAGATAGTATTTTATAATGTGTAAAATGCATCGTGGGCTGTTTACTATTCCTGCTTATAGATCTAGAGATCGTGAGTTCGAATCTGCCCGATAACATACATTTTTGAGTGTACATTTATAATACTGACTCTCTAGAAACATCGATAGCTAGCCATATTTACATGGAGACGGCGGTTGGTTTGCCCCCTACCACGTTGGACTCAAATATAGGTACTCAACAGAACGTAGCATGTCAATAGTCACGTTCACCACGACTGTAGTTGATCTGGCATTAAAGTCATGAAGTATTAAATAGCATACAACATATTTATTAAATTAACCTTCATTTTAAATACTATTGAGTAGTAGTAGTAGTTTTGAGTGGTCCGCGTTACAGCCGTTGATTAGATTATTTCGTTTTAATAAAAATGCAATAGCATATTCTGGTGGTCACAATCTCCCTAATTAAATTTAAAAATGATTCGGTATATCTATAATTATGTATTTGAAAGAATAAGAGCTGTGCTCCTCGTCAGTTCTTAGCTCGAAATCATTCCGTAATAGACCTATATGAATAAAGATATTTTTTTTATATTCTACCGCCCATTTTGAATGTATTCTGCCAAGAAAAAAAAAGAATCTTAGCATATTTTGAACATGAGTTAACATATTATGTAAATTGTAGTTAATAATGAAATAAGCATCCACAGAGTGAAAGTTAAAAAAATAGCTGTTGTCATATAATTTCCTTGTCATACAAATTGGATAAAGTATTTGTATGTATGATTCAGATTTCTTCAAAACACGTCGGAAGTGGAGTTGATGACCTCGATGGTCCGTACTGCATTGCTGTACCGCTATTGACCTTACTCGGCTCTACCGTAAGCCTCTCATAAAACTATGCATGTAGAGACGTCAATTCAATTCCTTTGCCTTTTTCTACAAACGGTCGATGACACATTTAGGGAAAAAAACAATTTTATGTATCAGAGCATAATTTGTTTGTAGAATGTATAACTTTTTTCCACTATTTGTACGTTCGGATTTTTACTCCTGCACTTTTCTATGTCATTAGCAGATAGTAATGAACAAATATATAAACAACGTCATCTAGTTAATTAATTAATACAATGTAGTATTAATTAATAAATATATTAATAAAATGATGTATTGAAAAATAATCACAATAATTTCATCACTTTGGGAGGTTGCCTTTTCAGTTTTCTATAGCCTGCAATGTATTAATAAGTTTGCGTATATTCACACGAATTTTAGCGCTTTGAGAGTTTTCTTTTCAGCGTTCTTTGGCCCATATGTTGATGCATATTTAATACATTGAAAATCCTTCTTTCCTAATTCCCCCGGCCGTTTTTTTTAATATCTATACAGCTCTATATAATTTTTAACTATCACTTATTCATAGAATTTGAAATATATACTTTATTATATGTAAAGTTAAAGATATACCATATTTATTTTTTACTACAGCAACACCCATTTTTATTGCTCTTTCTTCTTGTGATAAGTCTGCGTTACTAATGAGTAGAAGAATCAAAGAAATACTACTATTCAAAGGTGCTTGTTAAGTTAAAATTTTATAGAGATTATTTCTATTACTATATTCAAATCTGAATGGGCAGGATAAAAAGTATCTACTGCCCTTCTCAATGCGAAAAGCTATGTATTTATAATAACTATTGAATAATTATTTCTTAAGCAGTTAAGTTACAAAAGCGTATCAAATAAACAATCTTGTATTCGTGTTTATAATATTAGCTGAGATATACCGAAGATCATGTAATTGAATTTTTTTAATTGCTATGAATGCAACTTTTTGTGCCGTATGTCCATTACACCTTCTTTTAGTTTTCTTTTATGCACGCGCTAAAGAAATTATCATCATAAACACCAGCCCACTGCCCACTGCAGTCCACTATTGGACATAGGCCTTCCCCTAGGCACAACACTAGGCCCAATCCAGTAAAGTGCTTATTGCTTTTTATAACCTTCATTTATTAGTTTTTTAGCGTTACCCAGCATTTTCTCAGAGCATGCGTACTGCTCATGGTCATGGAATAATGGATTGTGGATGTTTCTGTTTTTGTCATAGTGATGATCTTGTTGTTTATGTAGTTATTTTTTTTAACGCTACATAATGGTATGCTTAGGGTAATATAGGTAATGTTTTACGAAGATCATTAAGTAATATGTTGTCGATGTTTCTGGTTCTATAGTGATGATTCTGGTTATGTTGTTTTTTTTTATCGCTACGTAATCATATGCTCAGAGCAGCATACGTACTGTCTCACGAAGGTCATTAAGTAATGTATTGTTGTTTCTCATTATTTCGTCTTGATGATTCACGTAGATTTGTAGACTGTCGACTGTTGACTGACTTTGTACAAATTTATCTATGTGGTACCTCTGTTATATGTCTGTCGCAAAATGTTTGCTGTGAAAACTGTTTTTAGTTTAAAGGTTGAGAAATGGTAGTGGAATAACTGCCGTCGGTGCTGCTTAAGAATGCTCGAGCACACCTGTAGCTCCAGCAATAAGGGATAGAGGTACAACTTAACGTTTTAGTCGGTAGGACTCAGTAGCGGCAGTACCCCTAGAACGGGTGGGTCTACATGACGGACTCACCCAAGTTAAAAAAAATGGCAGTAGAATAACTGGGTATGGAGGGATGACACGTTAGTCTTTAGGAATTGTAAAATATTTCTACCACGTGGCGATGAGTTGCCCGTGAATCCGTGATGCTGTTTATGTATGATATATGATGCAATATAACTACATTCCAATATAACTTATGTAAAATGTAAACAAACATTTTATCGTGAAAAATATCACATTATCACTCACTAAACGGAAATAGTAACTATCTGACTCTCAAAAGATTTAACTTATATGTATCATCACTTTTAGTAAATTTTTTTTTTTCACTCTTTAAATACTGTTTCAAATATATCATTCGAAAATTTAGAAAAAAATAAATGAATACATTTAATACAAATCATAAGAATCGTATAGACAATCGC